TTGTTGTGGGTGAATAATTTTATAAATTTTCGTTATGCCTGTTTACTCTAATATGAATTAGCTGACATGCATTTTATGTACGGTCGTGCAAATGGCAATGCGAGGGAAGCGCTACGTCAGTATATCGACGCTTTCCCTAATCGGCACATCCCTTCATTTAACTCTATGTTGTTATTGATTGTTTATAAATATCATTGTTTTTTTAAAATAATAAAAAATTGTTATAAACACAAAATGGTCCGTATCTCCGAAACCGTTAATTTGCGGTCATATATTTATTAAGACTTTTCTGCTTATTTTGGGTCATACTATTCACCATTTCATTTTGTGACACTTTTTTTTTAACACCCTGTATAAATATAGTATATTATGTACCAAAGGACTAAACTTTCACTTTTAATCCCGCCTTTTTGTCGTAAAAGTCTTTTTTAAATTTTTAGCAGTGATGTCTGTACCGGGTTTGAACTGAATATTTTTGAAGAAAAATAAGGTACGCCACTGTTTTCTTTAAAAACCAAAATTATCTTTAAAATCCTTATTTATTTTGGAGCAAATTTAGTTCATAGATGTACTTTCGTACGACGCAACCTTTTCGCGTAAGAAAATAAACACCAAACATTTTTTTTTAAGTTTATTGAAACTACTTTTGATATTTTGTTGTATCGGCACTCAATTAATAAATACCCTGTATTAATTGATATTACCTTATTCGAAACAATCGTCTATTTTTTCGTTAAGTATTTGTATATTGGTTTTATTTTGCCATCTTTCACAACTCTATGCTTCTAAATGTAATTTAATCTAACTAAAGGTATTTACTAAATTAAAATATAAAAATAATGTAAAACCGTCTAATAAATCGAACTGCGTTATAACAATCACCACAGAACACTTACTCTTAGAACGGTATCTCCCATGTTAAAAAAGGATGATAGAATTTTTAGCGGCACCTGGTGGACGTGGTTGATTTTTTTTCAATTAAGTCCTTATCTGGTAAGAGGCCATATGAAAGAAGAGAAAATAATAAAAAGAAGAAGAGAAGAAAAGCGCGGGGCTATTCAAATTTGACAGTAAAAATTATCCGCATTAAAAACTGTAATTTAAAAAATGTAATGTATATGAAAATTGTATTATGTATGAAGTAGCTGGATGGCTGCTACATATTCCAGGATACAACACTGTCCATCATTTTGTGAAGAACTTTATCTGTGAAAAAAGAAAGACAGTATAAGTACAATCTCATGAAAATAAATGTATTAATAAAAAATTATAAGTCCGAGGAATAGTTTATTTTTTAATAAGTCCAATATCTACGATACAACTTTGCAACACTGAATGTCATGAAACAGAAAATACAGGTATATGCCGCGTTTGAGAATCCACATCGGATGCAACTGAGATGTAGTAAATCTTTGATCACGTAATTCAGTTTACGTAAATGTAATGGGACACATGTGTCCGATTTAAAATAGACTATTTGAGGCGCTGTTCTCCACATCTCGGCAAATGGGCTAAAATAATAATTTATAATACTCTTAATATTACCTCATTTTAATTATTGTGCCACTATACTGTATTTGCTCAACCAGAATGAGTTGCAACGATTGCAAAAGTTGCAGAATAGAGGTCTGAGGATAATACTGAGCTGTTCGAGATTGGAACCAATCAATTCCATGTTGAATGTGCTTCAGTGGTTGCCTGTTAAAAAATATTTGCTATTCTATTCCCTGCTTTTTATATTTAAAATTAAATCAGGAATCTCCCGAGTATATTTACAAAATATTTTAAGTTATAATCAGGATGTTCATGAACATAAACAGGTAATAAGAAAAATTTTAGAGTTTATAAGGCCACGAAAAAATGTACACAAAACCCCTTTCCCTCAGATCCGATCCCTGATCACTCCAGTCGAGCTGAAGAGGCTAGGAATGCCTAAGTGGCCCGCTTACAACTGGGAGAATGAAATCATCACCTTTACCTTTAGCACTGAATACGAATAGAAACAGTACTTGTTTGTTGAATGACCTCTTATCAGACGAAAAGCGCCTGGTGTCTTGCTATCTATAAGACAACTTGCTGATTATATAAATCCAAGAGAAGCAAAACATTTTTCTGGCTCCACTCCATGCAAAATAAACCTTGAGAATATAATCTGTTCGGTGCTGTATAGTACAAATTCCCCGTCCAGACTGAACACGGGTTGCTTCCCCTTGATGTACCCCAACAAATGAATCGGGGCAAGGCCGCAAGGCGCACAGAACCACCACAGAACGACGCAGTTTCATAAACCATGCCCAGGCAGTTTCCGCGCCTCAGAAGCTCGTCCACATCTGCATGCTCATGCGTCCTCGGCTTGCCTCATACGCGTACGTGCTCATATCTGTACCCGCCTTGGTCACCTATTTTGTTACAATGAAAAAGAGGACGAAATAATAAAAAAAAAAAAATACAACGTAAATAAATGAAACATTTTATTCAAACACAAATACACTATTTATGCATCTCTTTTAATTATTTATTTAAACGGGTATTTTTCCATTGACAATACATCAATATTCTAAAAATATATTGGACATTTCTGAGCAAGAAATATCCTTCATATTGAATTTTACGGTAATAGACCGTCAGATAGTGACCGATTTAGGTGCCCCATTTTCGCATATAAGCCTCGAAGAGGGTTGAAAAGTACATCGATGTTGAGTAGAATAAAATAAAATTTACTGTGGCTCTTGTGGATAACACGTGGAAAATTCGATTTTCCTTATCAGAAAAATTTTCCGACCCCAAAATGCACATTCGGGTCATTCAAAAAAATATGTTTTTCGGACTAGTGACAACGTATGTTTTCATACATTCGATGGGCTTATATGGAAACATCGGGCAAAATCTCGATTTTCCTTAGAAGATTAGACCCTTATTTCAACCCTTTAGCCACTTACGACATTAAAGCCTTTTGGTTTTCTGAAGACTAGTTTTATTAATTAATCATATAGTAAAAACTGCTTGTGTGGAAAAATGTTAGGTAAAATTGAATTTTCCATGTGTTATCCCCAGCAGCCATTCGTAAATTTCCCTTCATTCTACTTAAAATCGATGTACTTCTCAACCCTCTTCGTGGCTTGTATGCGAAAATGGGGCACCTAAACCTGTCAGTATCTGACGGACTACAAGTACTGCAGCTAGAGTATAAACATACATAGATTAGTCTTAAAATATCGAAAAGAAGAATAGGTAAGAAGGAGGACACTTTTCGAGGAAGGACAGAACCTGCAAAAGAAGAACTGTCCTCCCTAAAGGAGAGAAAGAAGAAAATATTTAAAAAAATATAAACAAGTTACTTTACACAGGAATTAAAATGAACCAATATAATTTTATTTGGGAATGCTAAAAGAAAGTATAAGTACATATTGGTTTATAATTTTTTTGTTTTTTATTGGTAGTTAAGAAACTCTCTTGGTACGGTAATTAATTATATCACAGTGTCCTAGTTTGTGTGTTTAATTTATCTTAAGTATGAGTAACCCTAAAACGTACTTTGAAAATAATAGTAAGTTGATTTGAAAAACAAAACAATCGTGAAACTTTATTTATTAGGCTTTGCCTAGACGATGGACATAAACCACCGTCTTATTTTAAACGTGCAAGGTTAAATTGTTAGCATACCTTTTAAAACATGATTTTATTATTCCATTGAGCTAAGCTGATGGAATAATACAATCCAATGGAACAAAGTGGATAGTGAAGCTCTCCAACAGTTACTAGCTAACACCTTGAGTTTGGGCTCAAGATTTGTTCTAAGTCGAAGTGTGTATGATCATTACTGAGGACTAAATTCAACCTTGCGCGTTTTAAATAAGATAACGGTAAAAAAAAGTTCAATGCAATGTTGCTCTTCGTATGATCAGCGTCTTTTTCCCAAAAGTTGTTCTATTAGAAAAGTGCTACCTACTTAAGAAGCACTGACCATTTGTGCAGTAGATTTACATAAGTTAAATTATTTAATTAAAATAATCTTGAGTTTTCCGCTCCGGAAGAAACAAACATCGAGCTTAAGGAGAGGGAAGAGCGGGCCAAATACTTGAACTGCTTGGCGAATAGCGCAGACTATATCCTGAGTACACCGTATATTTTGTAGTCATTATATACCGCGTTTGAGAATCCACATCGGATGCATTTGAGATGTAGTAAATCTTTGATCACGTGATTCAGTATACGTAAATGTAATGGGACAGATATGTCCGATGTGGATAAAAAAACGCTCGAGATGTAAAAAATGCATCCGATGTGGATTCTCAAACGCGGCAATAATCGGCGTTCTTGGAGATACTAAGGACAATATTTTGATAGAGCTGAGGAAAATACCGGCATGCCGGGCATCGCTCGAACATCTAGTGAGGAACATGCAAAAATCCGTCGTTCTTGGTTCAATGCGTCTTTTGAGGCAAATGAGTTTGGCTGACGATCACTGACCGAGCGGACGCAAGGAGTGATCGTCTTCACGATAGGCCTTCCGCGTAATAATAACAATAATCGTATTTATGAAACAGGATATAGAAAAGCGTTCAAAGAAGAATTTTAAGTGATCTGATATTTCGATATTGTTTAATTAAGAACTACGCGAGAAAGAACATTTCAACTTCTTTCTACGACTATAATACAAAACTAAACTATCTTAACTGTTGTTGATTTAGAAATAAGGCGAAAGTCCTTCATTTATAATTCTGATAACACAGGGCAATCATTTCCGTATTAAATCTTTATCCTTATCAGATAACACACCATTCCCTAATTATTTTAATAAAATCATGTTATCTAGAAATGTCAAACATTAAATAATAATCTAGAAGAGACCTGTCATGTTAATTTTTTAAATGATGAGACCTAATTAAAAATGGGTAGTAGCATTTTATAGAAAAAGTAAAGGAATGCTCATTTCCATGCTCGTTAAACAAATGACCGATATTTGATACTGAAATTAATTTAAAAAAAATCATAATGGACTATTTTTGAGATATCAAACTACCATAAATTTTAAATAATCATACCAATTAATTTTTCTATATAAATATTGAACAATAATTGACTGAAAAATAGTAAAGGTCTAGCTTCAGCAGTAAATATGGCAAAATTAATTATTTTATTTTTGATGACTGTTATTGCTGTAACTTATATAGTTTTTGCCCAAGCAGATTATTGCCAGATGTCTTGTAAGCTAAATAATCAATTATTTACACACATCATTTGTCAAAGAAAAAATATGGTAAGCTTTTTTTAAGTATATGTCACTGTTCGTCATGCACTCCTGAATAGTCTTTAATAGAATTAATAAATATCAAAGGCAGTGTTTCTCAAACTTTTTTGGCGACGGAACCTTTTTGAAAAACGAAATATTTGACGAAGCCCTAAACACATTTCTAAAAAAAATAGGTCCTCAAGCAAAATCATATCCCTCCCTCTTACTGAATTCTAAAAAAAGTCCGCAAGCCAGGTGGCACGCCCTTTTGTGGCGGTAGTACTGCTTCTTTTTTTTATTATGACTATTATTTTCTTCGCGGAGCCCCCACAAAGGCTTGGCGGAGCCCCAGAACTCCGCGAAGAACACTTTGAGTAACACTGCTCTAAAGTATCGCTTGCTGGAAATTTCAACTTTACAAAAGTGGGCTACTAAACTAAATCAAAGATATGGTCTTTCGGATGATTTATTTAAATACTCCAAGTATATGTGATGTTGTTAAAATTCCTCTGTGTATTATATTTATACAGTGAGCATCATAAGTCTTACCCCCCCCCCCCCCATCTAACTCGTTACTGGAGTCTTGTTAGGTAAATCGCTGAGACACATCGATTTTTGATTTGTACAATGTACATTTTTGTATGAATAGTTTACCCCTAATTTCATCCCTTGGAAGGGAGCAACCCTTTCGAAAAATTTAAATAGCATGGGGTGGTGAGTGATAGCTCATTTGAAAGGGGCTTTTATTCTCTATTCAACCGTGCAAAAATTTTTGAAATTTGCTTCGTTAATTCTCGACTAATTACACCGGCACACAAAAAAAAGAAGTTGTTTGTACATCAGACACGACCTACCTACCGGCATGTATTTTGACCCGCTGAATCCGAATTTCAAGTCAGTTTGGGCCGTCCATCCTTCAATATCGAGTAAATTGTAAAAATAGTAAAAATAAGATAATTAGTAATAAAAAAAAAATTATGAATCGAAACCAAGCATAATTCTTATGTATTTCGATCCGCTGAATACTGCGGAGGTCATTTGAGAACAAAAAAATTTGAAACCAACAAAAAACAGTTCAAAATCTGAGAAAATCTTTATAAAATATAAATAATTATTATATTAAAATGGTGTTAAAGTGTGGAATCAAAAGCTGCTTAAGCGCAAAAATTTAAAAAATAAAAAAGACATGCAGCAGTCAAAGTTATGCTATGTACAGAGAGACAGTGTTGTTCCTAGGGATTTTTGAATTGTACAACTTTCAGTGTCAAAATTGTACACTTTTACTTTCGATTGTACAACCACTAATTAATCTTCTTCTTTTTTATTGACAAACTATGGCCTACTACTTTCCCATGCTTAAAATTCTTCTTTTTTCCAGTTTAAAATATATTTTTGATGTAAAACGGTGTACTGATTGGTCGCGAATGGCGCCAAATTTAAACTTTTATTTTTTTTATTAATTTTAATGCATGCTATTTAACAAATCGTAGACTTTTTGAGCGAAGAAAACCTTTTATATTCCCGATTTTACATAAATATTTAGCAATTTCAAATTGTACGTACAACATTTCTGTCTTTTTTCAAAAATGCGTACAACAGTACAACCGCATAACTGATTGTACAACTTTTTGTACAATTGTACAATTTTGTTTTATTTGTTTCGTTTCAGTAAATTATGTATTACGTTGCTGGACAATAATGGCGTTTTTTCTTGACAAATACAGCGTTTAGCTGTACTAGATCAAATGTTAAATAGACTTTGTAAACCTTTATGTACAATACAGCAGTGGCGTGCGGTGACATTTTTGGAAAGGGAAGCGATTGTATAAAAACACAGCAGGCCAGTAAGCACAACGCCGCAGGCGAAAATTTTTCGCGGTGCATTCACCATTTTGTCAAATTCTTGCTTCTTTTTCCTCAGTACTACGGATATTCGAGATTGAGATTTTTGAAGTGTTACTATTACTTTATTACCTAGTTAAGTACTAGAATCTATAAAAAAACTTACCAATGAAAAGCTTCCTTGGTTTATTTAAACGTAAAAAAAAATTACCTGAAGTTTTTTTTTTATTTTTTCCAGCATTTTTCGCACAGTTATATACTTAAGATCTATTCGTTTATCCTAAATGGCAGCAAATTTGTCTATAACGTCGTAAAATTTTGAATTTTCTGATAACTGTTTAACAAGCTGTTTTTTTAATGAATATTAGGGCTAAATTAAAGAGTCTGTCTTCACTTGTTGAATTTTGTATAAAACTTTTAATGCGCTTTAAAGCTGAAAAACTTCGCTCAACTGACGCACTTGTAGCTGGGATTGTTAGTACTAATTCACACAACTTGACGACTTCACAAAGTGACTTATTTAAACCAGTTGTTATAAGAAAAATTAACACATTGATGGGCATCTTTTTATCACTAATTTCAGTTGTTTCATAAACAACACTTAACTGGGACTTTAATGCTGGAATATCGAAAAAATTTCCATAATTTAATTTTAGTGAATTAAAAGCTTTCGAAGGAAATTCTGATGAATCGTAGTTACTAATATTAAAATTGCACAATTCATCAAATTTTAATTCGTTAAAGTTTTGAAATCGAGAGTTCCTTTTGTTGTAAAATATTATCAAAAATTTCGGCGTATAATCTACGACGCCAACATTATCAATTCTAATTCCCTTTCTTTCAGGTTCTAAGCCAATGAGAATTTTATTCCAAAAGTGTTCAAACTGATCTCGTTTTTTATTCATTTTATTTTTAAAATCCTCAATTTGTTTAATGCAAAAGCCAATGTCATTTGACTGCAAAATGTCGAATAAAATGTCAGTAAAAGGGAAAATATCTGCAAAAATGTTGAACAAAAAATTGAAATCAAAATTTTGTTTGAGGCAATGCAAATACCCTTTAGCAGCATCCCATGTTTCTTTATTATCCCAAACGTCTTGAAGAAAGTGTAGAATCACGGTATTGAAACACTATTTGCACTAAACGTCCATTGTAGTTCCATCGCGTCGGAGCAACTTTTGGAAACCTTTTTTGAACGTGAATGTACAAATCTCGAGTTCTTTTCGATGACTTTGAAAAGAAGGAAGCCAAACCACTAAGCGTCGAATAGAAAACTTTGCAATCTTTAATATTATAATATTATCCATGCTTCGCGATAAAATCAAATTAAGTCTATGTGCTATACAGTGAACGAAAATTGCATGTTTAAACTTCTCTTTCACTTTAGCTTGAAGGCCTCCTAAATAGCCAGCCATTACGGCAGCACCATCATAGCTCTAGGCAACAAGCTTAGAATCACATTCTAAACTTGAAATAATGTCACAAACAATTTTAAACAATGCATCTGCAGTTCGTTCGCTAGTGACGTCCAAAAATTCTAAGAATCGCTCTTGAGGAATGCCATCCAATACATATCGCACAACAATGGATAATTGACTTAAGTTTGCTACATTTGTGGTTTCATAAAGCGCAATTGATACGAAAGTTGCTTTTTTAATGTGATCCATCACAACGTCGGTAGTGCATTTAATTTAATAATTTTGGATTCTGTTTGAGGTACCTCGGAAAGTCGTCGAATTAATAAAATGATTTTTTAGGGTATCATCGTATTTTGCTAAAAAACTTAGAAGGTCCATGTAATCTCCTCGATTGGCGGATCTACTTGCTTCATTGTGACCCCTAAAACTTAGTTCATGCTCTCCCAGGAAACAAGTTACATCTATTAATCGTTGTAAGACGTCCCTAATCTTTTTTTTACCCTTTCATTGTGAATTTTGTTGCTTATTTTTAAATGATTGTCCAAACTATGTTCAATGCGATAGATCCCGAATGTTTTTTCTTTAATTGTAGCACTTATATGAGATTTGCTATTTACATGTCGTTTTACACTTTTGTGGAAATTATTCAAGTCTGTAATACTGACTGCAGCAAAACAATTTCTTCAAAGTTTTGCAGCCGGTTAACCATTCATACTTTTTATAGAACCCTACGTGAAAATGCCTGGTAAATTTCTTTGCTGACTTTTCTAATTTCATCTCTAAATTGATAGGATCCTTTAGTCTACTAGAATTAATAATGTCCGTTTTTTCTTCAAAATTTCTACTTGAAAATCCTTTTTTCAATAAAGAGCACACAATACAGAAACAATTTACCACATTATTATTGTTCACAGGCAAAGTTCCTCCATTTTACAAAAAGAAAAATAACTACGAAAAACAAACCGAAATCTATCTGAAGTCTACGATTTCCCTCACACGTCAATTCGCGGTGCGAATTGCAATATGCGAAGGGCGACGTAAAAATCTCTGCCTCTCAGACTGACTACTGTGTCACGGCAAAGCAGGGTCAATAACACGAAGCGAAATCAACTGGAAGATGAGCCGGCTTTTTCAAGACGCGCTTCCGCCGACAGACTTGAAGTACCTATATGGTGTGTACGTTAACACAATTAATTTTCTCATGGGTAGTGCGTGCGTTTACACATTACACCAATGAATTGTTAGTACATTTACGAAGTTTACGTAATGTTTCAGAGAAAATATAGTACCTTATTTAATATTAATTTTTATGCATTGTAAACTGAAAAATATTTATTTTTAAATATCAAAGTGTAGGGAAGCGGTGCTTCCCCCGCTTCCATGGACCGCACGCCCCTGCAATACAGCGAAAGGCTAATACATATAATAACCCTAGTGTATATAAGTCAGAAAAAGAAAAAAACATGATACTTAACATGATTTAATGTAAAAAATCCGCAATTTCGATTACATCTATCAAGAAGAAATTGCAAGAAACTTGCTAGGGTTGTGGGTTTTCTTTAAAACAAATACATAAACAAACATAATAAACAAAAAATACAATACTATAAATAAAAACTATTAACAAAACTAACTTATAAATTATTTGTAAATTTTGACATTTTTTTGACAGTTTTCGCCTACAGTTTTCAAAGCTAACTTTTTTATTCAAATGTCCTAATCTGATATAGCTACTAGTTCTTATTAAACACAATATAATTTTATTTG